CCCCCCCCCACCGAAATATCTGGGCCTTTTAAGAGCTTGGCTTTCAGGTCAGGATGGATATAAGATGGGAAGATGGGTGATAGATTTGACCGTGTGTCATCATGGTGGAAAAATTGATTCTGGATTGCCTGTGGGATCCAGAATGGGAAAAGGAAACGCCTGATGGTGACATAATAGTCAGCTAGGGAATTTGATAGGTTATTTCCCTATTAATAGAGGGCCCTCTGTGTTTCTTGCACCAATCTAGGCCCTGGGGGACTGAGCTAAGCAAAAATGTCATGCAAAGGGTGTTTACCATGATGGGGCTTGGATTTGAGGTTGGGTTATGACTTTGGAGTTGAACAGAAGAAGGGGAATAGAGAGGGAGAGGTCTGGGCTTACTCTCACTTTAATTTTGAGAATTAATGCTGGGAGAATGCCTGTGTCTGAGAGATGTCGATGGGGCAAGGTTTGTTTTGAATAAAGAGGAAATATATTAATAGAGGGAGAAAAAAAAGAGAGCATGGGTACAGGTGTTAGGGTCAGGTCAGGGTGTGCCCTAAATGTATGCAGTTATCATCGTAGGGTAAGACAGCTTGTCTTGGTGAATGACAACATTTTTTTGGATCAGGTTTAGCAAATTGCAAAATGGGAAAAGGGTGCTATGTTACTATTGACTCCGGCTGGTTTCCTGCTCTGGCCTTGTGTCCTGTTTCCACAGTGACCTTCTGAGAGAGCACTGCACCCACACAGACAGCTGTGCTGTTTCATGAACAGAGCGTTCTGGCCCGACTCCTGGAGACCAGTCCCAGAGAGGTGTTCCCACCTGAGAAGGGCCCAGCATGCTGATCTCTTCCTTTGCTCAAGGGTTGGGATCTCTCTGAAGAGAAGGATGTCCCAAAGTTGGGGAAGAGGAAGGTTTCTTTTTACATTCTTTTATGTTTTCCACCTACGCTTTGCATTTAGAACGGATCCTTTGTTTTTATTCCTTTGTATATGCTCAGTTCTTTGGACTGAGTGTTGCTTTGGGAACAGATGACTCTATGTCAGTAATTCCCCAAGCTCAATATCTTTGTGACACAGATTACCCTTTTACTAGATGGTATTTCTGGCCCGATTATCTCTGACCTTCACTTGAGATGATGTAAATGACTGGATGTGGTAGGTTTCCATTGACTGTTATTTACGGTTGACACATTGCAGGAGCCCTGGGTCTCTTCTCTTAATATTTTCTCTTTCATTTGTTTGGCTTACCCTTGCCAGTCATTTTAGCAATTCTTTTCTCCCTGTAGAAAAAGTGAAGGATTGCGCTTGTTACTTATGAATAATTGACCAGAAAGTTTGAAAGAATCTAGACTAGAAATGTTAAATTTCATGTGGTCTTTCAAAACCAGAGTCAAAAATCATTTTACACACTATATATATACACATATGTATATGTGTGTGTGTGTGTACACACACACACATATATATATATATACTTTTTTTTTTTAACAATTTGAGACACCTACATAATGCATAAGTGATAAAGTGTATTGAAGCCCAAATAGGATATGCTTTATCTCTGTTTGATAATAAAATGTCTCAAAGTATACAATACTGTAGGCTTTCAGTATTTTTATTGTAAAATAAGAGCTGGAATGAGATAGAATATGGATTCTTTATTCTCTCTGCTTCTTTTTTTAATGCTGTTCAGATATATTGCCTGGGCATATTTCCTTGTGTTTATCAATAAAGCAGATTCCTTTATATACATAGTCCAGAAAAATTACTTGTAATTTAAACTTTATATTAAAAGTGACTTAACTTATGGTTTAAATTTCTCTTTTTCTTCTATTTCTTTTTTTAATGTATACTTATTTATTTATTAATTTTTTTAAACATTTATTTTTGGGAGAGAGAGAGAGAGAGTGAGCATGAGCGGGGGAGAGGCAGAGAGAGAGAGGCAGACACAGAATCTGAATCAGGCTCCAGGCTCTGAGCTGTCAGCACAGAGCCCGATGCGGGACTTGAACTCATGAGCTATGAGATCATGACCTGAGCCGAAGTCAGATGCTCAACCGACTGAGCCACCCAGGTGCCCCTGTGTATTTATTTATTTTGAGAGAGAGAGAGCATGCATGCCCACACATGTGTACATGAGTGGGGGAGGGGCAGATAGAGAGGGAGTGAGAATCCCAAACAAGTTCCATGCTGTCAGTACAGAGCCTGACGTGGAGCTGGATCCCCTGAACCGTGAGATCATGACCTTGGCCTAAATCAAGTGTCAGAGGCTTAACTGATTGAGCCACCCAGGCGCCCTCTTCTATTTCTGATTGAAATTTACCAGGAAATCATCCCTTAGCACTTACTGTTTGTAGAAAGGGAAATAATAAGAGATCATTAGCCCTTACAGAAAAATTAGTTCTTGTCTTGGGTTTGTCTACTGTCAGGTAATTTTTCTGCTCAAACTCAGCTTGTGTAGCAGGCCTGGTTAATTGCTTCCCAGGACTTTGTAGTATAACTTATTCAACATAAAGTATCTGAAGATTTTAAAGATAAAAAGACACCTATGAAAAACTGTGTTATGGAACGTTTGAGCTGGAAGAGAACTTTGAGATCATCTAGTGGACAGATTAGTAAATTGAGGCTAAGAAATGCTGTGTGGCTCACAGTACACAGCAAGGACTAACAATTGCATTTCTTGAG